CCTGGCGGGTGTGGGGGTTCTTTTTGGAGTGATTAAATTGTTCCCGGAAGGGTCGTGGTGATGGGTACACAGCTCCGCGCATGTACTAAAAACAGTTTAAAATAGGTGCCTTGTGTGGTACTTGTGTCATGCCTCCATAAGACTGCCATCAGGAAGAACGGCCCTGCCACGGCCTGTCTCTCTGGAACAAAGTGACCTAGGACCAGAGGGCACTCCCGAGCAGCCCGCATTCCCGGGAGCCTCTGCTCCTCTCCTGCAAGCATCTCACCTGCTCCTCCCCGCTTTGCGCTGTCTCTCAGGGTCCCGCCTGCCGGACTGTGGTCCCTCAGCAATTCGTGTCACGCAGCCTCCACCCCCAGAGTAGGAGCAGAGGGTCTGCCCTTGAGGCCTGGCAGCGCCCCCACCAGGCCCCCGGCTGCAGTGGGCTCTCCCCTGCTGGGCTGGCCCCCGCTGTTCATTTGCGCACATCCACCCCTCCCTCTGTCCACCCACCCACCTGTCCACCTGTCTTAGTCCAGTCGGGCTACCATAACAAAAGTACCATAGGCCTGGCCTTCTAAACAACATAGACTTATTCCTCCCAGTTCTCGAAGCTGGGAAGTCCAAGATCGAGGTGCCGGCGGATTTGGTGTCCGGCGAGGACCCCGCTCTGATTCATAGACGGCAGACTTCTCACTGTGTCCTTATGTGGCAGAGGGGGAGAGGGAGCCCGCTGGGATCTCTTTTATAAGGACACCAATCCCACTCATGGAGGCTCCAGCCTCATGACCTCAGCACCCAAAGCCCCCACCCCTAATACCATCGCCTTGGGGATAGGATTTCAGTACATGAATTTTGGAGGGGACACATTTAGTCTGTAGCATCATCCAACCCTCTATCTGCCCACCCACCCCCCGTGCACTACTGCCCACACACTCCCCCCACATCCACCTGGCAAACGCTCACTGAGCACCTGCTGCCAGCCTCAGTCCAGTGGGCAGACAGCTGAGTAAACAGACTCTGACAACTGGATGTCTAGGGCCAAGCTCGAGAAGCATTTCCCACTTTGGTTCTGAAAGCATGAGTCCGACATCCCCTCCCTGCTCTCCGGGTAGCCTGACGTGACCTATTTTACTCTCTAGACCCAGAGTGCTCCTCTTAGGTTCCAAGGAGGCCAGATCGGGGCCGAGACCAGGGGACTCAGAACCCATGTGGGCCCCAGCCCCCTCCCTGACTGGCTACGTGACCCCAAGTGGTTGCTGCCCCCCGTCCCGGCCCTCACTGCCCGCACCAGGACGGCACCGGGCTGGTGCTCTCCAAGGTCCCTGCTGGGGCTGGGCCTCTTCTGCCACACATGGAGCGGCTGCTCGCCCGGCACACCTGCCTGCCTTCCCGAGTTCAGGGCTCTCTGGGCCTCTGTGGCTCCTCCTCCCCGAACCGCACTGGGGCTGCGGGGCCTGCTCAGACCCCCTGAGCGCCGCGCACGTCCCCCTGCATATTCTCTCGTCTTGCTCTGCTCATCCTTTGAGTCCCAGCTCAAGAGCCCCCTCCTGGGTGAAGCTCCCTCGATGCCGCAGGGCCCCGCCTCTGCCCCCACCTGTGGAACATGCCCCTTGAAGCACCCCTGCCCCACTGACTGCCACAGGTCGCTGGTGCTGGCACTGGGGCGTGGGGGTGTCTGTGGGGCTCACTGGTGCTTGAGGCCCCGTCCCTGCAGGACCTGGGACACTCCGGGTCTGGCTTTTCTGGCTACTCCTGGGACATCCTGGGGCCGTGGGGGCTTTGGGTGATGAGATCACGAGGGCAGAGACTCCATGGTGGGATTAGTGTCTGTATAAGAGATCCCAGAGGGCTGCTCCTCTGCCACGGGAGGGCACAGCAAGAGGTCTGCCATCTATGAATCAGACAGGGGTTCTCACCAGACACCAAATCTGCCAGCACCTCGATCTTGGACTTCCCAGCCCAGATCCTGTGCCTGAAGCCTCCCTCCCTCCCTGGGCAGATCAAGCAAGGGGGTGGTGGGGGGAGCCTTCCCCACTTCAACCCTGGCACTATGACATGGTCAAGGCCCCAAAGGACCCAGAAAGATCCAGAAATATCTAGAAGGATCCAGCAGGCTCTAAAGAGAACAGGGTCCTGAGCCCCATGCCTGGCACAGAGAGGGTGCCTGGGACGTACTTACCAACAGGCTGAGCCACCAGCTTCCCTGGTTAAGGGCTGGATGCTGGAGGAGGAGCTGGTGAGAGGAAGAGGGCTGCAGGCAGCCAGGAGGAGGGGCTGGTGATAGAAAACTTTGTGGGTCATCTCGCTCAGCTGCCTCAGCTTCCCTCTGAGGCCCAGAGCTGAGGTCGACCAAAGGGACAGGCAGACAGAAGGTTCTGGAGCCAGAGCGCACCTACTCCATGAAAGAAACACAGGACCAGATCCCGCACCGCACCTGTGCCTCGTCGGGACCTGCTGAGCACCTGTCGTTTCATCTGCCCGCCTGGGCAGAAGGGGACCACCCTGGGCGTCACCATGGTGGCAGATTTCGGGCGCCCTGGCTGGTCTTGCCGCCCCTTTCTGTCTATAAGCCACAGTCCGGCTTGCCCCCGCTGTGAATCATGTCGCCGCACAGACCACTAACTTACTCTCTGTGGTCACACATGTGAGTCTCCGCCCTCCTGTGTACTTCTCTCGGCTCCTGCAGCAGACTCAAACGCTCTCGGGTAGCACAGCAAACACACATCCCCGTCCAGTGGGGGCTGAGGGGAGAACCAGCACAGGGGTTCTCAGCCCTGCTGAGTGCCTACATAGCCTAACACCCACGGGGCCCCCTCCCGGAGCTGGTGGCTGGGACTCAGCTTTGGGATGAGGGCAGGCAGGCGGAAACGGCAGTGACCAGTGGAGAGTCCCTGTACTGTGCGGGGTCTCAGCTGACTGGCCCAGAAGAGAGGATCCTATGGGGGATCAAGTCAGGGACCCCCATTCGCACCCTCAACGAGCATTTATTGAACACCTGTTGTGTGCCAGGTGGGTACCACCCTACCTGAAGATGTGATGGTGAAACACCCAGTGGGGACGGCAGTCCAGTGAACAGTCACACGCAGATACTGTCACCCATGGGAAGGACAGAGACATGCAGGGAGCTAAGACGGGGGGTGGGAGAGTCCTGGGGGGTCAGGGGAGGACCCACGATGAAGGGACAGCCCAGCTGTAGCCCCTCAGTGTCAGAATGGAAGGCAGGCTGTTTCTGCTGTTTCTGCCAGGGTGAGGTGGCCGTGGCCTGGGAGGGCAGGGGCAGGGACAAGAGGCCAGAGCACAGCTGGGACTGGATGCTGGAGTCCTGTTGAGCTTCGCAGTGAGAAATCGATCGTGCAGTTGGGCCCCACACTCCGCAGGGCACACGCTTGGTTCTGCTCTGTGGTCGCTACCTGGAAACTCTTAATTGTTTTTGTACACATCCCACCCTTATTTTGCCCCGAAGGTCCTGTCCCCGGTGCCGCTGCCCAGAGCCCCAGCCCAGCCTGTTCTCGTGTGTGGAGGAGGGCTGGGGGCAGTGTGGGGCTGGCATCTCTGCTGGGCGGGGCTGGAGACTGAGTCCAAGCAGAATCGTCCATCTCTACGCTGGCATCAAAGTCTGATGTCTCCAATGGAGGGGGCTGTCTGGGTGCCTGCAGTGGGTGACCAGAGGGGGCCTGGCAGGGTAGGGGCATGGATTTTTCAAGCCAGGATGGTGTCAGA